TATGCACTTTGACTTTGGCAGTGGCATCCACATTGTGTGGTTCTAAATGATGCATCCATGTGTAGCACGAACATGTCAAGGCTACTGTGCAAAGTTTGGCAAATCCAGAACAAGGAGCCATGCGTCACATGCTACTACTAGCGTGGCACTTGTTACTACTAGCGATGCACTTGTTACTAATAGCTTCTTGTTACTACTAGTAAGGCACCTGTTACTACTAGCGTGGCACTTGTTACTACTAGCGCTTGGAAAAAATCGCTAACAGTTCACCATCTTTAGAGAGTTGAGACTTGCTTGCAGCTAGCATGTCGGTGTGCTTTCCGGTGTAAATATACGCATGGTCCCGCGTTGATATGCGTTGATATTATTCGCCCTTGTGGTTTTCTCCGTGGCCGTGACCAGTGTCTTTTGGAGGCCGTTGCCGTGTTTTGTGTGTTTGTTTTTTTTTGAACCATGTATTTAGTCTCAGTTTCGGGCCTTCCATGGGGTTTGTTTGTATTTTTCTATTTACGATGGTTGCCAGGAAAAATGGTTCTTAAATGTCAAAAGTAGTTTTCTCCGCAACTGTTCTTTAATCCTCTTTAGAGTTTCACAAACCAGAGCTGGGGGCATGCGTGTGCTTTGAATTTTGTCTTGCTGTCTTGGCCTCAATCAAACAAGACATTGATCAATCCCAAATACACCACCACACCAATAATACCAATCATATACCAAAGGTTTTGGGACATACAGGAGAGTTAGATTTAGCAGTATATTAAAAACAAATAAAACAATACTTTAGGGGACATGTTGGAGAGGGTGAACAAGTTTCTTACACAATATGTATATTTTGGTACGGTACTTTATACCAGTAAAGAGAAGAGTGGATGTTTTGACTCTGTTCGACAATCCGTGTTTATGTGTTGGTATTTTCTTGTATTTTGCATTTGACGTCTTTCATCACACGCTTTAAGGCAATCTTGATCGGAACAACATCATGTGTCAAAGGCATCCTACGTCACACGGTTTTCTCTTGCTCCATTGTACACAATTTGTTCTCCTTTCCAGTGATCACCATTATCATAAACACCTTCCCCGGAATATTAAAACCGAGATCCCACAATTCACCTTTGCAAACGTATCCTTACCGAGATCCCATAATATACTGAAAACTTGACTTCAATACTATGAACGTCCCTTCCCTGACAAGGAGCCCAGTCACCCCACTCTTTATTTTCTTTGGTGTTTGTCTTTGGTTTGGTTATGAAACTATATGAAACTTAAGCCGTGGTACTTATATACGTGCAATGTGACCATCGGCCCATCAAGGCCGAAAGACACTAAGCTTGCAGTATCACCTACACAGGCTGTATGTAAACGCTGGCCACTCTTCCACCCCTAAATCCGCCCATCATTCACCCAACATCTCGTAGCATGACCGCATCGTAGCAGCACAGAACGGCACGAAATGCCCCGGGGATTACATCCATCACCTCTGCCAAGGAACGCCCCAGACCTTCGTGGTACTACAGTCACAGAGGTTGTGTGTGTGTGTCTTTGGCTTCAATCGCAGCCCAGCAGTCATGTACTCGCAGGTGATTCCTGATAGCCTCGTAGACCAGTACAATCGGGCTCCTATCTCAGATGGATCCGCTGTGGATTTCCGCCACACTTACAGAAGCAATGCTGTTCATAGGCGACACGTTCGGTGCACATTGTGGCAGGGGATCAGGCCAGCAGGTTCCAATGTGAAAAAAGTACATTCAACGAAACTTGATGCAGATCGTGGCCATTAATGGAGACGACAATCCACTTCACTTCCCTGAACACTGCAAGCAGCTTCAGACTCAGGCAGACTAGGTAGCATGCAGTATCGTTTTGCCAGCTTTCTAGCTCAATGCCAACGTCTGAGGTCTAAAGTTGTATTGAGATTGAGAAGGCGTCGACATGACCCGGAAGGTGGGAGGTAACGAAACCGATGTAGCCTTGCAAACCCTTCTTGGAAGATGTGAAACAATTGAAACATGTGTTATTCTGTTATTCTCTTTTGGAAGGTGGAGATCGCAATCCAGATAAATCTGGTTCGCAATTGGAAGCAAGCACAGCTTGCCAATCGACCAGGAAAGCAACATTCGAGGAAAGCTCCCCGTCGGAGCAGCTCCAAGAAGAGACCAACAAGCCAAACTTGGCACCTCAAGCCTCGGCACCTCCACCATCGCCCAAGACCAGCAGGTGTCTAAGTGCTCAGCTATAGCAGCTAGGGTTGAAATTCTAAACTGTACTGTGGCATTCTCCGAGGCCCTCAGATTTCCGTGAAGGTCCAGCTGGCGCCTGAATATGGAAGCTGACGTGTTTTTCCACAAAGATTCTTTCCAAACCGCCAAGAAATGCCTCAGCAGCTCAGGAAGTCCAAGCTGTCCCAAGATATTGAGGCAGGATGAGGTGTTTCGAACAGCTTCTAAAAACCTTTTCAAAGCAGAACTTGAGAGTTTAGAGCTTTAGGCTGTTTATTTAGGATGTTTAGGCATGCCAACCTGCACTTCCTGATGCTGTCTCCATGCTGGAAGCTTCAGGCTAGTGAGCCCTGCGACGCTTGCGTGGCGTCCGTTCAGGCGCCCAAAGTCTGGCTCGCACAAGCAATCGGTGTGGGCTTCAATCCTGCTATTCAGTAATTTATAGAATTATATGTATAGGTATGATATATAGTTACTGTAGTATTTTTGCTGATAAGATTCTTTTGCTGGGCCACTGAATCTCATTTCTATTTCAGGACACTTTGCGATTGCTGACGCTTCCTCCCGATCCTGTCATTGCTACCTTGACATTGGGGCTGGATCCCGCATCCGCAGAGCACTTCAACAAGAGTGTCTGCAAGATGAAGGTTGGGAAACAAGAGTGTTTGCCAGTGGCCATACACAGCTACCTGCAGAAGCTTCTTAGATGCGCTGTGAACCTAGCACGCGAGTACTCATGGGCTGGCAAAGCAGTGCTTGCCAGGACATTGTGGCTTCCCTTCCAAATGTCTTGAGAATGCCAAGACCACTACCTAGCACAAAATGCTCACTCCGATGTGACATTTGTTTTGTCACTGCTTGTCAATTTGCAAGGAGGTGAATTCATTTGCGTGCACGTGGAAAGTGTAGACTGTTACTCTACACATTGATGTTTCAGCGTTGGGCTCAAGTCAGCCTTCAGAGTGGCCGCTTGAACACTCAGACTGCGAAGGCTCCAAGGCCAGGCTCCGGCTTTGGGTTCTAATAGCAACAGGAAGCTAATAGCAATAGCCTCCAACCTACTAGCGATGAGTTGGGTTCAATTTGTAAACTTGCAAATTCAGACGTCTCCTTGTCGACGGCGCTTCACCATTGCACTTTCCACCGTTTCTTTTCGAAGGCCATGTACTACGACTTTGATTGGAAAGAAGCCGCATTCTCTTCAAGGAGCCTGCCAGTCGTCACAGGCCAACATGACATAGCATATTTTTTCTAGACTCTACTCTTCTCCTTGGAGAGATTAGGTAGTTGGGAGATGTTGGGAGGAAGTCAACATGTGCCAAGTTTGCTAAGTGGCTAAGTGCATATTGCCAGGTGTCCTCTATTTGCTCATGGTTTTCATTCTACCCAGATTTGTCCTCAACCCAGTGAAATGAACCTTGGGACTTTGACTGTGCCGTCTAGGTCTAGTCTAGGTATGTGTACCCGATCGAAGGAGATTGTGTTAGACAATTGGAGTTGAGCCCATTGTTCTCGATTACAATTTACTGCTTAGACGAACTTCAAATCTTTGATCCAAACACGAAGCCAGATTTGAGAGCTGTGGTGGGCAGATACTAGTTTCTTTCAGGTTCCTGCTGGTGGTTATAAGTTGGATCGCATCTTGGTGGTGCACAACTTGCTTCTGAGTTTCCAGCTGAGATGGAGCGTTGTTCCAGTGATTGTTCATATTTTCTTTTGTGCTCTTTCCAGGTGCAATGTCCTTGGTTCTTTGTGTGGGCTGTGCATGGGAGATGTTCCGCCGTGCACAGAGCGAAAATACGGAGTGGATGCATAGAGCTTAAACTGGCAGAGATGAATATGTATGAACTGCAAGGACGCTACTAGGTGGAGGCCATTGCTACTAGTAACACGAAGCTGTATGAACCTTTTCTCGATGAGACACGATGTGCCACCTTGAATCGATTTGAGGTTTTGTGAGAACCCAGAGACCCCTGCGCAAGGTGAAGAGCTGAATAAATTCAGAGGGACAGGGTTGACAGGGTTGAATTGACACATTGGGAGTACTTGTTAAGTGACAAATTGAAACCTGTTATTACCTTTGCTTGAACAAAGGCCCTCTCTATTTTTGGTCATATGCTTTCTACGCCGAAAGCTCAGAGACTGGACTGGACTGGACTGTTTGGCTTCATCAAAATACGAGCCTTATGAGGTCAGCAAATATTACGAATTGGTGGATACTCTTTTGGCGATTCTCAGAGCCTCCAGGCATTTTCTATTCAAGCAGCATTTTAAGGATTCTCGATGTATCTTCTTCCGCAAGCTTGTTAACGTTGTGAGCCTGTACCTTTCCATCGTGTGGGCTTTGACATGATGGGTTCGTTGATCTTGCTTCTTTTTGTTGTAATGCTGCCAAATTGTTGTAGCAAGTCTTACTAGAAACAGTCTGCTTGTGCTTGATGCGTAAATTGGACCACATTTTGCTCTTGCTCCCAGGCCACCGCACTTTGGTCTGCACGTGTATCATCATGCACTCGTTCCAGCGTCTTAGCAAAAGGACCCCCGGCCCCCGCTCCAAAGACTCGAAGTGGAGCCATCAAAGGAAGTCTTGTAATCAATCTCTCTCTGTATCTCTCTATCATGATATATATATAGTTCTATATATATATATGCATATATATAATATAGTATAATATAATATAATATAATATAACTTAATAACAACATATATATAATATCTAATATAGTATTGATTAATATATATATATACATCACTGACGGCTTTGCGGATGCCGGCAGGACACTGTGCACAGGGTGAGCAGCGCAGCGCGCGCCCAGGTCAAGGTCCAACAAACTGCTTTGTACAAGTCTCAAAGAGGGGCGTGTGAATTCGCACCCACCCGCCTTCCATGGTACCACTGGCTGTGAACCAACGGTCAGGTCCCACGTTTCTAACCTTGCTTGAACCGGATTTAGTGGATCTAATGGCTGACATGCATATAATGTTCGCGCCAGTTCGCGCACCAGGCTACGAACCTTTCCAACTAGCAGGCGAGGGTGAAAAATATAAAGGATGTACGACCCAAGCTTGAGGCTCAAGTCACGCTGTTCGGGTCTAGAACAAAGGAGGCTTCAGTGAAAGAACCGCTCGGCGCAACATGCCGCAACTGACTTGTTTCCAGGTTCTCACTGTCCAAGGATTTCCCAGGTCTCACCGTCTTCGACCAATTCTTCGGGAAAACGGTGTCATCCTCATTGATCTTGCTCACAATTTGGCGACCGTCCTGAAGCCGTACCACTACATACGATCACTGAAATCTTAAGCCGCCTTTTTCTCCTTCTATCTGGTGCGTGGTGGACTTGCAGCCAACTAATCCCTCACAATCTGTTCAATCACCTGTGAAGGCGAGTCGCAATGACTGAGCCCGGAGCCCGGAGCAGTAAAGCAATCAGGGATGCGTTCACAAAGCCATGGATGAACGAGCGCAGGAATGCAAACCAGGCATGATACCACGTTACAGGTTTCGTCGCAACTTGGTCACTGGTTCCAGTGGAAACGACCAAGCTTGTAAGGCACCAGAGTGAAGCAGGAAGTCGACATCACCGCAGCGAGAATCGCAGTCAGAGCCAGAATGTCAGCAGCCGCCACCGAATCCAGTAGCGCACCGCCCAACCGAACTTGAAACAACCAAAGTAACCAAGGTCAGTTGGTTGGTCATTGACAGCCCTTGTAAACGAAGCAGTGCCTGGCAGTGCCTCTGAAAGGGGAAACGATATATGGTTTTGGTTAAAACTTTGCCGTCTCAGCCGCACCACTGGAAGGACTTGACCTATCACGGGTAATAGTTGCATATATGATCATATATGTAGAACCTGAGTGACCTCTATTTTGGATTACCAGCCAGCCAACTTATGCAAATATATTTTTTTCTATCAAAGCAGGTGTCAAGTGGGCTGCAGGTACATGTATATGCATAATATACGTGTGCACAATTTTTGTTATAAATCGGGGCTATATTGATTGGCAACATTCCGAACATGTGGCACCGCCTTGCGCGGGCTCTAGTAGAAATGTTTCATAGGAGTATGTTGTTTGCCTGACTGCGTGAAGATGTCTGTCAAATCCAGAACACCAAAAAAAATTGTAGAGAACCATAGGACCTAGGATTTTTCTTACTGAGGTAATGGTCTGGAATTGGCTTGAATACCGCATGAATCTTCAGCACATAGGCTGGGTTGAGGTTTCATTTCAATGCCAAGTGGCTGCTTTAGTAAGTAGATCCTAGTGGCCTGTTGACAGTTGCTAGGACTCCTGTGGAACACATTCGTCCACGTGGTGATGTACGCGTACTACGGTTTGAAGGCTCTCAGCTTCGTGAAGATTTGTCTCAAACCTGGGACCACAGCCTTGAAAACATCACTGTTTCATCCAGAGATCAACAACACGTTAACAATTGTATACATCCCTACACACAAGTCTCTATACATTACACCCATGGGTTTCCTTTGAGCTGCAGTGGAACACAAACACCTCACACCGGCCAAACCAGAAGTGTGGCTTGCAGGTATTGAAGATACCAACGCATGGAACTAAGATGAACTAAGTGTACCAGATGTGGAAGCTTGCGACTCACTTAGGCCGTGGAAGAATTGGGTGACGCGACTCCAAATCTTGCAGTTCTTGACCAGTGTAGCCTTTGGCGTTGGGGCCATGAAGCATATGTGGGAGCGCCTGGGGCTTTTGGTCAAAATCGAGCCATGCAACTTCAGTATCCTCTCAGAGTAAATCGAAAGATCGTTTCCACAGAAACAAAGAACAGGTCTGCAACTTTGCTCCTCATCATGACGACCATGTTGTTAGCCAGACCAGGCTTCTGAAGCCTGGTTGTCACAGCGTTTGCCGATTGATGCTGATTATAGAGTCAGACATGCAATGTTTTTGTACACCCACCCAGCAGAAAGGCACAAAAAGAGTGCGTACACGTTGCGGGTTGCCCTGCCAACTTTTCCCTTTTGCGACTATGCAGAGAAATCACAAGCATCAGCAGAGAAATCACCCAAATAATTGATCCGAACTCCCTGATTCCCCACAACCCATGGATCCTTGAGAAACACTTTGGTGGATGAGGAACTGTGGATCTTGGTCAGCCAGCCTGTGCTGTAAATTAAATCCATCGAGTGACCATTGAACCATAGCCTTACCCAAATTACCAACTGAACACAACTGATTCTCTATGCACTGACAGAAGGTCAAATATGAGCTGGGTCGGACTGTGCCCGCAAACTCACAAATCACGTAAAGCAAATATGGAGCTTTTGGTCTTCAGCGTCAAGGTATAGAGTATAGATGCATAATAGAGGCGTGAGAGAGTGTGAAGTGTGAAGCTGAAGTACCAAAGATGGGCGGTTGTGGCAACTATTTGCAGGAGGCACCATTTGGAAACAAATGTGCCGGCCAGACGACCATGTGGGCAGAATCCTAAGTTTATGAAAGGGCCATTCAAAACAGCGAAACTGATTTTCTCCGTCAACCTTGCAAGGTCAACCTGGCATTCAACATCACTCTCCTTTGGCAATTTGTTGGGGTGCTTTTTTCTCCAGCTGCGAGCCAAGAAAACCGCAGGTTTGGAAAACTGCACTGAAAAAAACGTTGTCTTTAGGTACGTTCCGCAGGTTTGAAGCAAAGTCCCGCGGACTCACCGAAGAAGGACTGAGAGCAGCCTAAATTGTGGAGTGTGCCTTGCATACTCCTGAGCCCCGCATCACCTTGCATTTTGACAATTCGTGACATTATGTATATGAAATCTTTGAAACTTCCAGATTGAGGAGTGCCATCTAGGACCACATGATGTTATGTTTGCGGCATTTGGGGGCGCAGCAACCACAGATGACAAGTCTCCTCCTGGAAGAAAATAGCGGCTTGGTGCTGGCATAAAGTCATGCATATCTTGCCAAGTTTCACCCGGAAAACCTGGTGAGTTCAACAGCTCACCTGCAGTTACCTGCATCTTCTTCCCGCAATTGGCGCAATGTGCTCCTGCGGCAACTTGGCCACGGGATACACACTAGCCATTGGCAAATCACTTTTGCCGCAACGAAAAACTACAATCACCCCTTGGCAAAATTGCGCTACTTCTGGCATCAAGCAAGTTCCTTTGGTCCAGAATGGTCCGTTCAAGCCGGGGTTTTGACCACACTCAGTCAGCGAAGCTTTCAATTTGCCCAAAGCTTGTACTCAGATGGCAAAGATGCTGTTCACTTTATATAAGGTGAGGCCTTTCAAAGATGTGAAGAGCAGTGTGGGCAGACAACGTTAAGTAGCTGCTAGTTACTGGTAGCTATTGCAGGCTTTTGCTAAGATTATATACGACTCATATTGTTGAAATGGGAATGACAAGGGCAAAGAGGCCGAGTCCGATGAGCATGATGCTTATCTGGCTTATCTTTGCATGCACTCAAAGTATGTGAGAACGTTCTCTGAATTTGCAAAGCAGAGCCTGTGTGGCTTATGTCGTTGCGGAGTGGAGCCGGTCTCGCAGCGCGAGCTGGAGTTCTAAGCTTTGAGCAATCTAAACATGTGGATGTTTGACCCACCACCGACCATTTTGTTCACCAAGGTGAATAGCACAGTATGGCGCAGGCATCCCATATGCGAGAAAAGAGCAGGAAGATGCCAAGGCAGGCTGTAGCGGCCACTCCATGGGGGCCATGTAGAGAGGCTGTGACCCAGTTGTGACTCTGTGAGGCCCTGTCAGGTTGGGTGCAGAAGGTGCACAACTTGTTGGGATCTCATGCGATGTGCCCACACACATACATATGATCAGCTATGGCTCAGCAGACTTGGCCTTTGGATTCTTTTGCTCGGTGCTTAGGTGCAAAGGCGTTTCATTCTGGACATGTCTGCGGCCAGCGAGGTAACCACTGACGCAACCTTCAGGTGTGGCGGTTGCAAGGATGTGTGTCAGATGAGCAAGCGGTGCAAGTGTTCACCTGCGTGACACTGCTGTTTGTGTACAGGTACAGGAGCTTTTTGTGGAGAACATCAGCTGGTGATAGGCAACGACCCAAACTATGCAACCATAATATATCATATCCTTATTATATACCTTTATACATATAGTCTATAGTCGTGATCGATGAGCTAAACAAAAACATGCAGATTTGATCATAGAATCATAGAATATGAGAGTGAGCCAGTGCCGACCTTTTCTTTCCTCATTCCTACTTAACTTGAGCAATTCAACATTTGTTGTTTGCCATCTCTCCTGGCAAATACCTCCTCGATTTGAGACTGTTGAAGACCCCTGCTAGGCATCCCTACGAGTACATAGTTGCACAGCAGCCAGTCTGGGCTTAAAAAAGCTGCGGACGGATTGCTTTTACTTCACCAACAGCTCAATGTGTCAGCCTCTGAACTACGCAGTTGAGGCTGGTGGTGCAACCGCTCGAGATGCCTTGACTGCTCTTGAAGAGCACTTGTGCAAAGCTTAGCTGTTCAACAGCACGGTGGAGAGCGTGGTGTTTCATCGCGCGACATTCCCTCTGGACCCTTCTTGCTTCCGAAACATTATATATCTCTTTCCTTCAGCTTCTTCCTTGGAGCTCTTGAAATAAAACAGCTTGACCCAGACTGAGTTTCAATCCTGGCTATTGGTTGCTCTCACGCTGTCAGGAGAGATGTGCAAAGTGCAGGGCTTCGACAGACGTCTAGTGACTCTAGTGTTCATTTTTGTTGCGCTCAATCATGCTCAATCGGTTCACTGCAGTCTTTCCGATATGAGGGCTTAGTCAGCGAGCACTTTTGCCAAGCCTTTTCAAGAGTGTGTGATGTTGAGGCGCACGCTCACCATAGTATTGTGTATATATATAGTATATACAATAACATATATTGGTCTTTTGTGAATGGCAGCAAACCTCCTTCTCCAACCCTAGGTGCTCCTGACACCACCCGCTCTCAGCGCTTCTTTCTCCAGCGCGTCCTGAGTTGGGATCCCTGTCCCTTGATGGCCTATGGCGCAAGACGGAAGTCCCACCCACCCACGTCCTTGGTTCCGTGAGCCACGAGGCTGAGTCAGTGGGTGGCATCTACATGATCATGCTCACTTGGTGGGCCGAAGGTGAACAAATCCACACTCCCGCTTTTTCGGTCTTCTTGTTGTGGCCAATGCTGGAGCTCAAGGTCGAACGGAAGAAGCAGGCTTCCATGCATTTGATTAATGCATCAGCGCTGAGCTCCGTATGTAGCCTTGCCGGTAAATCTTTGATGGCGCGTGCCTGAAGCTGAACTCTAAACTCAGAACAATTTAGAGGCACGGTCCAGGTGGCTCAATCGTACAAATTTTACAGTCTGTGATGTTATCCTCGGATCCTCTCAAGGTTGGCACAGTGACGGCTTTAGGGAGTTTAGGGAAGCTCTGTTCGGCATGTTTCCAATTCACATCGTTCTGAAGAATCTAGGACCCAAATAGCCAATCCAAAACATTTGATCCAGCGTTGATGACAGTTATATAGGCAGTCTCTTCTACCAACGTGCTAGTCACAACCCTCTGAATCTTCTTGCTGCCCCATGACAGTGGGCTTATGGGAGCTGCCTGGTTCTTGCCGATGCGCTGATGTGTGACAAGTGACAAGAATCATCATGCCGGAGTATGAATCTGGTCTGTGCTTTGAGGCAAACGAAGCATTTGAAAAGGATTGAAAAGGCCAAAAACCTAAAAGGACCTTTACATTCTTATATTGTGTTTTTGTGCCGAACTTTGTTGACTGTTGACTTGGATCAATGTCTCGATGGTGGCTGAATTGATCTGGCTCTGAAGATGACCTTGCTAGCCATGCCCCGGACGTGTATGGACCTTTGCATACTGCAAGCTGCCCATCACGCCTCGCAGACTCACAGCTGTTGACGCTCTTCGTCGGGTACCTTTGCTTGAAACTGATCTTTTCTTTCCTGTTTAATTACCCGGTCTAATGGCTAATGTATGCTAATGTTGGAATTGTGCCCACGTACTGTTCTTGCGATAATGACATGCTGTAGTTGGGATGTTGTGTGCCTTCAACTTTTTGACATGCGATGAGCTGAAGAGCTAGCATCCTGCCGGATCGGGAAAGGTTTGGTGAGTCCCTGGGTATCTCTTTGAGATTTTGATCTAAACACCCGAATACGCTGTGTCCAGGACGCTACTAGGGGCTCCTGGCCGTACTACTAGGAGCAAGGACGCTACTAGGAGCAAAGGGCATCGCTACTAGGAGCAAGGACGCTACTAAGAATCGTTGTTTCTTGGCAGCGGTAGCCAGGAGTGTCCGGACGTCACGTGAAATTCAGTTCGGCATGCGGATGCAGTTACTTGATTGTCAAACACTGATGGACCATCTATATATATATAACATAAACTGTTATAAACTTCTACACCCACAAGCATGGTGGGCTCAATGTCGTCTTCACTGCTGCTTGGAACCTCAATGGTATTGGTATCATCTCCCATTCTTTGCATGTGTGGCTTGGTTCACGGCCTGAGTGAGATCACTAAAGTCACTGATGGGGTGTTCCTTGTCCATCTTCTTCAACATCACTTGGAGGAAGGAACCGTGGCATTCAATCTTCCCGGATTGCCAGTGACTGTCAGGATTTGTCGTGATGCATCGAATTCCCATACTTGTCAGAAATTGAGACATTCCTAGCATCTTCTTGTTCCTAGTAGCGATGCCAGGAGCCCCTAGTAGCGTCCTTGCTCTTAGTACAATGCGTTGTCTAGGTAGGATTCTGTATAACATGCTGACTTGATTGACTTGGTGCTGGAACTGCGACATGAAAATTGGAGCCTGCCTGCATCAACCATATGAAAGGTCCGACCGGACTGGTTGGTCCATTCCATACAGTGCTCATTGAGATCCAACGATGAATGGAGTCGACCGGGTTGGGAATGCTGTGCTTGTTTATTTTGTTGACACACCGCATGGAATTTCGAAGACAGCCTTGACCTTTACATGACGATGTCCTGCTGCTTGACACAGTCGTTGCGGGGATGGATGTCCTAAATGTTGATGGGCCCACAAGAAGGTTTGTTTTTCTTTCCTGGAGAGTTGAGACCACGACCATGTTGTTTCTGGTCTTGTGTCATGCATTTTCACGTCTCCATCGGCTTCATGTGTCTTCACTCTATCATGGATCTCCTGGGTTGCTCGGGCTTGGTTCACTGGACATGGTCCCCTCGGGCATTGCTTTGGGGCTCATATCTGACACCAATTCCATCCATTTCCTCTGCTGTTCTGGAGAGAGGCCGCTTTGTCCACTGCAGCTGGTGGCAATGAAACAAGGCCTGCAGTACCTTTTCTCCTGACCTGTATTACCCCAATGACCGCCCAGCAACTTGATGATTTGATTATTTTGATTCAATCCTTTGTCGTCTCCAGTTGACAGCTCGGCTGCTGGAGCTTCTGATACGCACTGCCCTGAGCGTTCAGGTCACCCGGTGATCAACTCATTGAACCAATCTTTGGGCCAAACACTGCCCAGCAGCTCCAGCCGTTGCTGAAAAACTTGTAGATTGTAGATCATCTTTGCCAAAATCAATGGGCTTGCCAAGTTGTATCCATTTGCTCCTCCTCCAGACGCCTTCGACATCTCTGGTCGCCCTGGCTGCTCCACGTGCTGATCAGAGACAGAGATGACAGGCAAGACTATTGCCTCCAATCAGTGCTTGGAGCTCCGCTACCAGTGTTACTAGTAGCAAGGTGCATTGCTACTAGTAGCAAGAAGCTACTAGTAACGCTGCACTCCCACCCGCTCTCAGCGCTTCTTTCTCCAGTGCGTCCTGAGTTGGGATCGCTGTCCCTTGATGGCCTATG